GTTTAGGACAACCTAGGTTATGGGTGTATTTGTACAGGCATTAGTTTAATAAACCAGTTGGCTATGAACATAATTTACAAATGTTTCAGTATTTAACAAATAATAATTAGATTAGAACACAATTAAAATCATTTCAGCTTATATTGTAGGGTTGTTTTAATGATGTAAGCTAATAAAACTTTGTAGGATATTATAAATGTCTCTAGTTAGTTATCTATTTCACTGATCTCATGAACAAGGGAAAGCTGTGTTTCTGCTTAATTATTTTATTTAAACAGAGTCTTGATTTTGATAATTTTTATTTGATAGTCGCTATTGTCATGTACTGATGTTTGAAAATTACCCATTAACTTCTAATGATAAATGCCAGTCATTGGGTTCCGATTCATTAATTGAATGATGTTGTACATGTACATTATGAGGTTTAAGAGTCCTGTATTGTATTATGAGTTTGAAGCTTAAAATTTAAGGAAAGTTGTCACACAGTATACATTGGTATCTAATGCTTCCCCAGCTCATATCGATTGTCCATGAATGCAATCCTCTGTTAACAAATAAAATGTCTTACAATGAAACTGAACAAAGAATATTATGTAATTCATTTTGAAGATGCTGAAAATTACTCTTTACTTAACAAATTTAAATCTAGAAAACAGAGCAAGAATTCGCTGTATTTGTATGAAGATTTCATTTCTCAAATAATTGATAGTGACTTTATAGAATTCAAAAGGCGAATACAGTAGTGACTGTTGTTAATTAACTTTATTGAATTCTCTGTTGGTGTGTGTATAAGTATACATGTTATTACCTGAAACTCAAAGAGTTCAGCTATTCCACCTAATTGAAAACTCGAGATGATTTGCTTAATAAATTATTTAATAGTTAGATCATTGATTGATATGGATTTAAGTTGAATACAACATATCATTAAACCTGAACATAATCTATTCTATATCTAGTTACTTAATTTCTGGGTGTATTATTAATTTAATCTGATTATATAATTTTTCAAATGGTTCTGATATGGATTTTTATAGTTACTAAAGTGTTGATCAGAACTACCAACCATTCAATCTGATTGACAGATATTTTTTAATTAGTTCGGATATGAGTTCATGCTAAAAACGAAATGCACCACATACGTATGAAACCTGCTAGCTTAAGATCATTCTAATTGACGTTTCGTTATTTACAATGTTCACTTACAACATCTTTTGACCTGAAGAAACAATTTAAAATAGTTCACGTATTGTTAGTTTACGTAAACCAGTGACTGTACTGACAGGACTGATAGAATTAGATCAAGACTAAGTAATCAACAAGCGTCACATCGATTTCTACTCAGTGATCACCTAATGCAAAATTTATCAAATCAGTTGTCCTTCAAATGGCTCACTAGTAGCATCTCAGATTATAAAGTTGTAAAATCCTAGACATAAGGCACATAGGTCGCTGATAAGGCTTTCTGAAGAGTGACAACTAAATTGAAATCTTACTTCAGGGCTTCCTGCCAGTCGCTTTTAAATATCCAACATAATTGAACACAATGTATGTTCAATTCACTTTAAAAAATATTGTCACTAAGAACAACTGTATCTGGCACGTTTTTCATATTTTGGTATTTAAAAATGTAAACTGAAACCAGCAATTATAAATAAAGATGTAATTGGATGACAGAATTGATGGGGTGAATTTATTAATACTAATGCATTCTGAATGAAATTTTTTCGGCTTCTTACGGGTCGCTACATATATATGCTAATGAGCACATCTGTTTTATTAGCAAATTATAAGTTGAGAAAGAATGGATCACAAACAAACTTTTCAGTGGTACTCAGCTGCTACGCAACACAGGATAGAACCCCTGATTTTCAGATCTAAATGCAGATACAACACCAAATCACTGAGCTTGTATCCCATGTTCATGAATTTTGAACTTCAATTAGAAAGCAGTGTTCAATGGGGTCATTGATAAGTTTATATCTCACTCTCTAATTTATTGACTTAATAAGTTACGATTAATCTGTCTATCTTGGATTTCTGAAATATTTGAAACGGGGTCAAAAATGCCAAGCAGTAAAAATTTCGAAGATATCGGTAAGAAATCTTGATCTAATGCATGTCTTCTTTTACCTTTTTTTAGACTATAAATGACCTTTATCTGTAGCAAATTCCCATAATTTAGAAACCTTAAAACACAGTCACTTTCATTTACTTCTCTTGTATATTTCTCTGTTAAATTTTCGTTTGTCAAACCAAAGAATAAGCATTACATAAATACACAATTTCCCGATGATAATTATAAGTAGAAGAGATCTCATTTAAATGATCAAACTCTAATCAAAACATCAAATCATTTTGTGGTTATTTTCCTTTTTCTTTTCTGGACGAAATGAATTCAAGCAGTCTTTCACATTCACTTGTGTACTATACTACTTATAAACTACTGAATTCTTCAAATCACTTTCAATAATGACAATTCTATTACAATACTAATTACGTACATCTATTAATTGTAAATAATCTTACGTACCAGAGTTTCATAGTAGAGGATTGTTTGTCATTGAAGGAATTGTCAAATTCACTACGTATACTACTAATTAAATATCCAGAATATTTCAACTTAAACATCCTGTTTCATATAGATTAAATGATTTCAAAAAAAAATTATCATACAATATAACATTCTTTAATTTTTGTCACTCTTCACAATAACTAAATCATAAAATCATTTCAAGCAATACTTTTATAAGCAAATGATTTAGCTAGTTGTCATGTGCTTTATTTCTAACAAACCCTATTAATTAAGGTAGTTATGTGCTCATAAGTGCACAATATTCTATTAACAATAACAAAAATTGATTTGAGTCAGGTGATTGAACTGTAAGGCTAAATTAATTTCATTCACTAAACGTTAAATATTACGTGAATTAATAATTTGGGTACTGAGAGAAGATGATTAGCAGATAAGTTTCATAAATATTCATAGATTTATTGATTAGTTGCTTTAAAAAAAAAGAGAGAAAGAAAAGATATTTGATTGTTAATGATATTACTAAAATACTGAATAAATTTAGAAAAGTCACTTTATAAATATAAGATTCTTATTAGAACAAATAAGGAATGATATGATCTTACACTAATTTCTGTGAACTTTATAATAAACATTAGTCATATTTTGTATTGTTACAAATGAATAGCAATATTTATTTATTTTATCAATTAACTATTTTAGTTAATTAGTTCACATGGTAACTAATTCAGTTTTGAAGTTATCATTTTGATACTGTGGTAGATATATCGATTCATAGTTACGTAGTTTCTAGTGATATGGGGTACAATATGAAAAAAACTAAGGCTCACTTTCCTGTACTCGATATCATCCGAACTTTGTAATATTATGGCAGAATTTAGTATTAGCCAAGAATTTGAGTAGTCAAGCTAATTAGAAATGCGACCATATGTTTGTTGATGTCCTCAACACTCTACACGTGTTCACTTATGTAAATCATGATAAATTATGATATATGGTTAGTTATTTGCTAACTGATTCTACCAATTCACAATGGTTCCTCAAGCCAACATTCATACTAAATTAATAGTAATCAATAAATATTCATTGAATGATGGCGTAAATCAGAAATAACCGAAAAAAAGATTTTTATTTTGAAAATGAATAAAATGTATGGATAAACTGATAAGGACATAATTAAGTAACAAAGTTACTATGCTTTATCCTAACAGATAATATATAGCGGTTTCCAATTCCTATGACTCCCCATCGGTTACCTTATACCCCGTTTAACTAGCAATTAAAGGTCCTAAAATGAACAACTTGTGTACAAGCAGGCGTAATCTACTTCTAATTAATTTTAAATATATTATTGCCATACTAGTCGTTAATATTGCATGACGGTCCTTGAAATTTCACCGTTTTACATTTGAACATTCTTTCAGATACGTTAGTCGAACTAGACTTAATAAAACAACTCCTTCAGCTTTAACAAGATCCTCTACTAAGGATATATATGACTGATTCATCCAAAAGATATTCAAATACATAAGTCTTAATTACTTTGTTAACAAATTTACTCGTTTTGTCTTCTTATGAAGTGATTCATATTAACAGGTGAACATATGCGTTAAGCTGAAAATGTTAAAAATAAGTAAATTACCTTTATGCTAAAAGACGTTTAATGACTTAATTAGTATAACATGTTACATCCATGTTATGCAACAAAATACTGCAAAATACATAATCGGTGTTTTTCGTTTCCAGAATTTAAGTTTTAGGCTCAGTCATATATGGGAATGATTCCATTTTAATCGTTTTGTGTGTAAGCAAGTTGCACATTAAACTTGATATTATGATGTTACGTGTTCCGAGATTTGTTTTGTTGCAATATTGACTAGTCAGTTGAATGTACTACTCTGTTCAATGACTATACAAACCGCGATCATACAAGCTTACTTCTATGAAACTAAAAACATATCAATCTTATTCCCTTGAAAATACTCACTACACGAGTAAATGTAAATCTATCGTCTCGATGTTTTTATTGCTTAAAATATTTCCGAATATTTTCTGAAGTCAAGCTTCTTAGAAGCCATTTCATCCTCGGCATTATCCCAGCCCTCAATCAAACGGTTTATCCTGACAAAAACAGTTATTTCTTTACAATATGTTCTACTTATTAATTCCTTTTAGCATTTCATGAATTTCTCAATCATTACTGGCTACATATTGATATTCTCTAATAATTTTCAATATTATTATGTTGGTTTATTCAAGATACAACAATGTTAAATTGAACAGAAAATGACCTATTTCAGAATTGATTTTGATCAAAATACTCTGGCATATCAACAGTTGTAATTTACAGTGTGATGTTCAAACATGTTTGATGTACATAATTACTTGTGGGCATGAACACATTCATACTGTTTGGCGTGTCTAATTATAATTGTTAACCATTCTCTTCATTTTTATTTATTTATAGAAAAGATAATTAACTTACAAAAGTGAAAAAAGCACCACTAAGATAAAATGCTTGAAGAACTAAATATTGGTGATTTAAATGATGTGCATAATGATAATAAAACAGGAAAATGGACTTCATCCAATGATCGGAGTAGATTATCACGTTATCGTGAAAGTTATTGTTCTGATGTGGATTTACTGCCCTCACTGTGCACAAAAGTAACAGTTGATATTCATCAAGATAATATTAATAATAGTGATTTTATTCACTTAGCTCGGAAAAATTGTGAACCATTAAGAAATAGTGATGGAGATAACGTTAAGGTAGTTAACAACAATAGCGGCAGTGATGATAAGAGTGATGATGATTATAATGATGAAGAGAATCTTATGAGCTGGTTACTGAAACAGTTTAGGGAGAATGGTTTAGATTACAATGACAATAACTTAAAAAATGATGACTTAGAGAAAATCGATGCATTTAATTATGTGAAGCGATTAAATCACAAAACATCAACTATCCCACATAATCTACCAATAGATGATTCTAATTCATCTATTTCAAGTTATCAAGCTACAATCGATTCAAAGAAATCAAAAACACAAAATGAGCACTTATTGAGTAATAATAATAATAATTTTTGTAAAGAACAATTTGGTCATAAACAATATCATCATTTTCCTCGCATGTATCCACCTGTCAGAGATTCATCAGTCGAGTCTAGAAAGTTGTGCCAAAGGAATAAATCAAACAATTCAATAATAACAACAGCAACAACAACAATAACAACTAACCCACCTATAGAATCAGTGAATTCAACTATGCTAAAAACAATAAACAATACAAAACATCAATGTCAACTTATCAATGGTTTATTTCATCAAATAACTAAAAAGTTGGTAAGCCGTTTTATGAGAGCGTTGACATTTTATCATCCTTTTCTTTATATAGAAAATTAAACTTGACATTAGGAATTATTAAATTATTTTTCTTATAGATTGAGAGGGAGTTTTGTGAAGATCAATTCAGACGGAAGTTAACTTTTATCAAGAATTCATATTAAATGATTGACCATTGACAATTAAGGAGTGGTTTTCGGTTGTTAAATCTGAGTTTGCCTACATTACGCTAATAGAAATCGAGTTTAGAATATTCTAGTCTCACCGCTTTTTTTAAATACTATTGAATCACAATCCAGTTATTTGTATTGGGAACTTCATTTAATCCACAATATTGTGTGACATAATTCAATTCCATTGGTATTATTTAAAAAGTGATCATTTTATTTATAAGTAACACTAACTTATACTGAAATTCACTTCTTAAGATGAACATCGTTACCATTTTTAATGGATAAATTAGACGTAGGAAATGGATTGATTACTAGAACGTGATGTGTCTTTAGTTGTTATAGGTTCTAATTTCTCTGACAATTCATGTTTTGTCTCGGATTCTGGTAATGAAAATTAAGAAATTTGGAATAAATACCATTTCTCAAGTGTAGATTTAGGATGTTATGCAAAATGGGATAATTTTTAGTTCGTCTTTATGTTCTTCTTTGGTTGGGAATTTCGCATTATTTCCCATTACACCACTGACGACAAGCTTAATGTAACTCATTTACTGAGGGTTGATGTACAGCATTCTAAGTAATAACGTTTTATGAAATCTTAATGATGCATATTTATCCACTACATAAGTTGTAACTTCCTGATGTCTTTGAATCTATTATATGCTTGAAACTTCATCATTTCTTTAATTTTGATATGACAATAATAACTTAATAAAACTCCATTTATTCAAATGAATAAAAATATTTTCTGTTTAATTATTAATAAATTTACTATCATGAACAAATTATAGTTCATCCTAGTTATGCACATTGGTGTTTGTCTGTTAGATTCATTATTAAGACACATTATGGTTAAATAATTTCTTAAATAGTATCATCATATGAAGTTATTTCGATTAGTGTTCTCGCTTCTTGTGAATTACGAATCCATTTCTTCCTGTTTTACATTTTATCCTGAAAAATGTTAATGATGATGTTTACACTTTTACTCTATCGTAGATAAATATTAAGTGATGTACACTGATGTTTAACAGACTCATTTTTGTGCCATCACTAGGCTAAGAAAATAATGAGTTAGTCTTCATCGAATGAAGATATCATTCATTAGATGGACCAAACGTTTAAGTCTTTGTTGAGGAAAAGAAGACAGTAGGGTTCCAAAATATGACCAGGAATTGAATCTACGATATTTAGTTTGTGAGATGAGCGTCTTGCCTTTAGACCAATAAAAAGTAACTTGGAGATGGGTTTCCAAACTTTTGGTGAAATTTTGTGGTCAGTGAAGATAAACCATGATGGATGTGAGATATCGGTTAGACTGATGGAATTTGATAATTATTTTTCACTTAAATAAAGTTTAAATTCCACACCTCTAGATTTCTTTTCGGCCAATTGAAGGATCATGATTTAATTCTTAGCGGAGTTGTTACTACGTACTACGGAGGATTCACTGATTTAGATTTCTAGGTTACTCAATCAAGACAGAGTTTGTGTTCAAAGTCATCTATAAAGTAAGTAGAAGTCTCCCAAGAACAATTAGACTGCATCATTTTTGTATTGTCGAGGCATTAGCCACACATCTGGGAAGACCAGGATTATGTGTGCAAAAGCGACTGGTACAAACTCTTCTTCTACCATGGTCCCGATGTCTTATATATTTTTCATTTTTAATTTTTAATTCTCATTTTTATTTTATTTTTTCCCTTCTTTTTCTCTTTCCTCATACCCTTCTTCCTTTAAAAGTATATTCATTCACTAATTTGAAAAATAACGTTAATAAAAATTAGTATGTAGAAGGTTGATAAACAAAAGTGGAATTTTTTGCAAACGGTCTAGTAAATTCAATGGAAAAAAAACAACCGATAAATACGTAAATGTTTTTTTTGTTTTCTAATAAATAACCCATTTTATGTGGTGAATCACTGAAAATGGTTTTGTATTATTTTGGCAAGTCCACCTTTTTCCTAAATATGTTTGTCACTGCCTAATGTAATCTAATTGCTTCTCGTTACCGGTGTATGTTGACAAATAGCAAGTATGGTGGCAATAGTGAAATGTGAATCTGTTTGTGACTGTGTGATTAAGTATGATATTTGGTATAGTTGTAATAATAACACTAATAATGATTCACAAAAGCTACATTGTTTTTTTAGATTTCTACTTATTTACATTACAGTATCATCATAAAGAGTCTGAGGAAATATTTCAGTAATATTTTCGAATCAGTTTATTTCAGAGTTCTGATACTGTAAATATTTTGGTCTTCCCTATCCAATTTATGTTTACATCGTTTTAAAAAATGTAGGTTAGTACTTATATCAACGAACATAGTTTTAGTTGTCAGACTGATTATTTCAATTTCAGATTCATTCACAATAATGAAGGATAATAAGCTCAAAATAAACTCCTAAATAGATTGTACCACAACAATGTCTTGGATTGAAACTGTTCATATTGTTGAAAAAATTTGTGTATATAATAAAATTAACCCCTTTTTCGAGGCAATAGTTTGGAAAATGTACAAAGAAGAATAATACCTGAATGAGTCTTTATGAGTACCGTTTTAGTATCTTACTTATCTTATTTTGTACATACCTCTAGAAATGAAATCAATTACCAGAGGTTTAGTTAGTTAGTTGTTACAACTATGGATTGTAGAGAAGCTCCAGGTTAGTTAGAAGAAAGACTGACAAGTTTTAAATTCTTAATAGTTTGCAATCCAACTTATTTCTGTGGTTCATAAATGGTTTCAAAGAAAACAACTTAATAGCTTTTTGTCTCTTACAACCCCTAAGATCATTATGATAAATTTGTCAAGACAGTTTGCCTCACTCACTAACTTTTACCATTGAGAACAAGGAAGTACTGAAAGTTGTTGCGCCTTTAACATCGGTGCCAAACCGTAATCTCTCTAGATTCATGATCCTCAAGCCATTAAAAGTAGACTATTGAGCCGATATTGTCATCTGATGACATTGATGAACCATTACCGTTTCATCAGTGATATCGTTCTCTATTTATTCTTGGCCTTTGCTAGTCAAATCTCATTAAAACTAAGAGGAATTTTCTCATAGCTTTTAGAAACTTGAACAGAATATTACCCCTCATCCTTTATATTTATGTGCTTTTCTATGTTAAACTTAGTAGTATTGAACAATGTCCTAAATCGAATTAAATGTACTGGAACTAAAACTTCGAGTCCGATAATTTTAATTTAAGTTTTTCGATAAATACGAATCCACCAATCCATTTACTTATCCTTCTTTCTAAATGTGACATTGAAATCAAATTAAAAACTTAGAAAAAAAACAAATATGAACTAGTTTACAGTTACTGATAATAAGAAGCAGATGAGATTTGGATTTCATTGAATTTCATCAACTAGATTCTTATGATTTAAGGTGGGAGAAAATGCAAAAACAGATTTATTCAAAATGAAACCCACATAGAATAATAAAAATGAAGTTTTCTTATTTAAACTTTTACTGTTGAATAAATCAGACGAATGATACTTCTTGTAAATGACTTTTTCTTATGATGAAGCAATAGTATAGAATGGAAATATTACTAAACAAAACAGACTTTTTGGGCAAAATTACTTTAACTTATTTTTAATCCATGTTATCCAATTCTCAGTTTATAATGTTTTGTTCAGGGTAAAAGAAAAAGTCAAACTGTTGTATCATAAATCTTTGAATATTCATTAGACTACCTAGTAATAAAAAAAAGAAACAGAAATTATCAAGCCATACAAACAACAATGTGAATAAGCATGACAATATACTTAAAAGATAAAAACACAAAACATAATCTCTATCTTCACTGAAGAAAACTGCTAATTGTTCAATGTTTCTTTGTTTAATGTTGTTTAACACAATCCTCTATATGGTACCAACATATAAACAGATAAAAAGTGATAGAGATCATGATGAAACGATCAAATTTGTTTTTGAATTATTCTAAGGAAATCTGCACTTAAATATAAGAGTTTAATTCATTTATTTTCTTTATTTCTTTAACCTGCCGCTCTGATGTATATACATATATGTATTTCAGGAAGGGGCACACATTTAAACTCAGTTACCATATACGAGTGCTTGTACTAGACTCCATATTGCAGTCAATTCATGGGAGCTATCGATAGTCTTAAGATGTTTTGTAGATGGAAAATTCACATTGCAATGGGTTGAAATCAGTTTTTTCTAATTACCTAAAAATCACTCTAGTTATATTTCATTACTGATTAATCATTTCATCTACTGTTTATATTATAAATTCTGTAAATATAAGGGAAGTGTTCATTGAAAACTAATGCTTACAATAAATGCTGTTATTAAAAAGGAAATCAACTTTAAAAACTGTTTCCTGTATGACTAATGTATGATAAATCAGGTGAGTTGGAAATAATTAATGATCCAAGTAAGGCAGTTTAGTTCATCCAGTTTAGAAATCGTAATAATTCATAGGAATTGTATCTAACACATCAAATGTTAAGAGAACTGACTCAACATATAACTCTCTTGAATAACTAATGTTTCCCATCACAAACTGACATTATATAGAGAACCAGGAGCATACAGTTTATACAGTTTAAAACTTTTATTATTTCCTATTCATTATCAAAAGATGAACAAATTCCAGGATGATTTTAAACAGGTGTAATGAAGTTTAACTGTTTAATATTTCTGGTCTAGTCTTTTTTGGATTATGAACAATCCCCTATAAGTTACTATTTGATTTGATTATTTATCTCAGTAATGGTTTTCTGTAATTAAGCTTAATTCGTTCCAGATCAGTTGTTAATGAACATATCATTATTATTTTTATCCAATGAAATACTGAATTCCAGTTCATTAGTTTGTAAGTATCATTCCTGTCACCAAACTTTTAGATCCTGGTCCCAAACTAGTGTGAACTTGTATTTCTATAATACTACAGAGTCTCATTCCAGCTGTTCAGTACCGTCTGGTTTTCCTAACAAATGTCAATTAACAACTTTAAATATCATATCGAAGTTTATAAAACTTTACATAAAACACATCAATAGATTACTACGTGTTCATCTTCCAAGTCCATTTATTTCATGCCTTCAAATATATACTTGATTTTTTTCAATAATTCACCGTTTAATACTGGTATGCTTAAAGTATACATAAATATAATAGGCTTTTCATAATCTCTTAAGACGCTAATTTATTTTGATATGTTCCTCTTTAGTACGACTGTGATTAAGGTATCTGTGTTTCACTACTAATGGAATTCAACAAGAAACCTGGAATTTTACTATGTGAAACATGTGAGACATAGGCTCTTTCGAATAGAGGTGTAGATGCGGAATTAACAATCCTCCTAACTTACGCTTTTTTAAAGTACGTGTAATTTGATACGTATGTACTGAACATGATATATGGCGGTTTCTACTTTTGCTTGAACTAATGTTTACGTGGAAAATATACTGTTAAGTACAAATCTATAGCTCAAAATGTAAAAAATTTATGATCATCAGAAAAATTGGAACCGAAGTATGAAACAGTAGAAGAATCTATTTGAGAATTTTTCAAATAAATCTAATAGTGAGCTATGTACAATGACTGGAGTGAATAATTTTGAGAAGTATACTTTCATTTAAATAGCATTCTGGGGTGATCAGAAGCTATGTTCTTCTTTTCTAGCTAATACAGCAGTACCAACCGTTTAATAACACCTAGCAAAGATAGAAAAACTATAAATCACATGTTGTCTTTAATTTTATGTACAAATCTATATGTTGGTCAACTATGTTTATTTATCAAATGAATAATGCGACCTTTGATTTTTATCGAAGTACTGATAATGTAAATATTAATTTAACACTTAATAGCTAATAGAATATATTCTGAAGCGAATCCACCCTTGAATTATAGGCATTCAAAAGTCAGTAAATGAATACAAAATGTATGAATTAGTCACTGTTCACTAATTGGTAATCGATAAAGTGATAAAGTTAGTTGGTTATTTAGTCAGGAAAATTTATGATGAATAGCAGTTTTTTGGTCAAAAATTTACACATTGCAATATCTAGTGGTAATTTAAGAAACGTAATATTTACTTCCTTTAAATAGTGAAATATTTTGTAGGATGGTAGTTTTAGAAAGATTGTTTATCGTGAACGTAGTTTATAACACGGAGTAATTCTATAGTTATCTAACCATTGGGAAATAGCTATCTAGTGCTTTATAGTTTACAGTTCTTAGGTAACTAAGATCATTCTTTGCTGTGAATACTGAACAGTCTTTACAAACGTTACATTCTAACAGTGGCACAGCATTTACTAGTCAATAACTTTTAGATATATTCCCAACTTTTTACTTAGTGATAGTGATCAATGGAGTCAAATAATTACTACTGATGATAATGAATAATCCCGAATGGACTGAAGTTTGATTTGTAATCCTTTGCAAGACAACTGAGTGGTGCAACATTAACTACCTTCAAGTTATGGTTTCAAACTATGTTAGAATTATTTGGTGAACACTTCTGAGGAGTCCTATGTTCACTAAAGTCGTTTAAACAATTGTCGTGACATTAATTTATTCAAGTGCGTATTTAATCACTTTAAAAAAGGGAGAATAAGAAGTTTATTTTTTCAAATATTGGTAAACTGAAGTCATTAGTGACCATACAAAAAAATGAGCACGTTCTTGTCTTGAATTGATATAAAATTGATGACTAATATCTTTTCTTGAGACGTACAAGATCTGCTTCAAGCTTCCACCTTGTCACTTCATGTTTGTCTAGAGATGTAATCACTTAAATATTACTAGGAAGGGGGTTGTGGAGATTATTGAGTTTTTGATTGAGATCATGAACTTAATAATCTCCACAACCCCTATACTAGTAATTAACTTGTGCTCACTAGTGACTAGCTTCGTGAGGGAATTCTCAGAGTTCTAGTGAGAAGCCGTGACCAGTGGAGCTAATTCATGTCGGATAGAGACAGGTATCTACCTCAGTACAATGGAAGATGGTCGCGCAATTTGGTGGATTGGTTGATGTTAGACACTATCACCATTGGATGCCGGCTCAGTGGTCCAGTAGGTTAGGCGTTCGCGCGTGAGACCGAAGGCCCTGAGTTCGAATCCCGCGAGGCGGGATCAAGGATGTGCACCGCTGAGGAGTCCCACAATAGGACGAAACGGCCGTTCCCTGTTTCCAGGTTTTCAATGGTGGTCTAACATCCATTGGTTCATGATCTCAATCATTTAAATATTGTTGTGTATTATTCATCAATCTATTTAATCACATTAGATCCACTATTACATTAAAGGTATCCTTCATTCTCTTTATATTAGATCTGAAGTTATATAACTTACATCATATAAGTAATTAGATATATTGTGTTTGTTTTCAATTCAATTTATAGATTTTCGTAATTGTAAATTCTTATTTTTTTATTAAATTCAATTCTAGACTTGTTTACATGAATTCGACAAGCAAGTTATTAATGAACTTCAAAATGCTAGCCAAATCATAAGTGATTTACAAAAAACAATAAAATTTTCTGAATCTTCATTATTGAACTCATTACATTATCAATTAAATGAACATTTTTGTCAACCTAAAATATTTAAAACAGAATTTTATAAAACTACAAATAATTTTAAAAAGAAAACTGGAATAAAAGATTTTTCTAAAAAGAAAATTTATAATTTAGATGAAAATTTGAAAAGACCAATTATAGATGAACAACAATCATATCTAGTATATAGTTCAGAATTAGATTGTCGATCACCTACGGAAAAGGTTAGTTGATATGTATTTTGTAAAATTGTTAGCTTATTAGATGTTACGACTTTATGGTAGTTTTTTTTTGTTGTTGTTGTAGATTATTAATTATAATGGTAATTTTAAACACTGTAGTAAGCTAGGTGAATGTTTCATTCATAGATTATTGTTCTGTATGAAATTCTTCCAAAATGTTTTTTAGGTAATCTAAGAGAATTAGTGCCAACTTCGCAAAGTAACTATGTGTTATTTTAATGTTACATTAATAGATATTATTAGAAGTAGAATACTTACTTTACCTGTTTACGATCGATGTTTGTGTTAACAAATTAGTCGTTTTCATTAAAACATTGAACAGTATATTTACTAATATCAACAACCAATCATTAGACGGTTTCCCGATTCTGGATTTTTAATGATGAGACTTAAATGATCATTGAACACAACATTATTTATTTTCACTTATATTGGCTTTTCATCATTTTCTGGTCTTTATTTTTTTTATTTTTCAAATCGTTTTACCGATGTAAAACAAACGGAGCCATATCGTGTGAAAATTAAGAGATAAATATTTCACAAATTATGATCATGAGTCAGTTGAAGCTAGACCACCATGGAAAACCTGGAAGCACTGGACGGCCGTTTCGTCTCAGTATGGGACCCCCCGGCACTGCGCACCCACGACCCCGCGTGACTCGAACCCAGGACCTACTGGCTTTGCGCCTGAGCACTTAACCATTAGACCACTGAGCCGGCATCATCTGCTCACCAGTGACTAACTTCAAGAGACACTCCTGAAGTTCTAGTGGTAAGCCGTTACCAGTGGAGTTCAACTAGGTCTGTTGTGAGATATCAGCTCACTGAAGACAATGGTATAAGGTGGCGCAACTTCGTGGATTGGTTGAAGTTAGACATTAACACCGTTGGATGCCGACTCAGTGGTCTAATGGTTAAGTGCTCGCTCGCGGAACCGGTAGGTCCTGGGTTCGAATCCCGCGGGGTGCGGGGTCCTGAGTGCGCACTGCCGAGGGGTCCCATACTAGGACGAAACGGCCGTCCAGTGCTCCCAGGTTTCCCATGGTGGTCTAGCTTCAACTGTGAAATTTCTAATATCTCCACAAGGCCTTTCTGATAAGATTAATATTTGTTAACAAGTTACAACTTTCTATTTACTTTGGTTTATTCATCGTGCAATTAACAATCCTCAAAAGGAAGCGCATTCAAATGAGGTAATCTGTCGTAGTCTGGAACCCATGATCTAACTAAGGACCTTTATTTCTGTCAATGATCATGTTAGCTTTCGACTATAGAAATTAAAATCCAACGGTCTACATTTTCAATCCCAGTTATTTCAAGAATGTGCAGGTCAATTCTTCAATGCTATCACTCATACGTACTCACTTCTAACATGATAAATTAATTTTAAATAAAACAACTGAAATTTCTGTAACCTTTAACTAGTTACTCTCACGTGGTGACTTTTCAGAAGAATGGGTTGCAAGGATTTCATTATCGAAAAATAAGTTTCAGTCTGTCATACATTAAATTTCTAAGTTATTCTGAAAAAGAAACAGATGATTATGAAGAACATCGAAGCTCATTTTAATGTGTATTAGTAGCCACCCCTTCTCTAAAAGCAAGTACGAAATTAGTTTTGGATATGATTTTTCTGGCAAAATATTTTATTGACGTATATGTGACAAATGCTTTATGTCTCATTACGTTTCTGATTTTTTTTTAAAAACGACAAATCAAACCACATAGTTTCTTAAAATAATTCATCATATACTATAAAAAAACATGTGAGTTTATTCATAATGAAGTTTGATTAGTAATGGGGAATCGCTATACAACCGCGTTTATTTACAATCCTCTAGTAGATTAATATGGTCCAATATCATATAAGTCGTGAATTTAGAGATGTTTGTTTATAGAGTTTAGAAGGATAATCAAATTGTATTATCTTTGTCAATAGAAACTAGAGGTGGTACTCATAACTATGTTTCGTTCCATTTGGAACTCATCGCTTGAATGTACCCATATATCGGTATTTATATTTGCCGTTAAATTCAAACCAACTATTCATCGAGGATGTATTTAACTGTTAATGATTGAGTGAAATTATTACAATCGTGTAAATAAACATACTTTCAAGGGATTTGATACGATAAAATATATTCACAGTTTCGAGCACAGCTTATGCAGGTGATGTCACATAGCAATATGTTTTGACAATTTTATCTAAATGTTTTACTTATCAATGTATAACGTGCTTTTACTGTCTTATCGCTTACGTACTCGATATAAATATAAACATACATCGAGAATGGTGAAAGATTTCTTTCACTGTTCCAAGATTTTTGTAAATTAATAAAAAAAATTATGCACAACACAGTAACAAAATAAAAGTACCTGATTTAGTTAAAGTAAGTAAATAAAGGCTAGACAATAAAGCAACTTTTTTTAGATGTAAAATTTGTAAGCATCATGATTAATAATGGCGGCCTGTTTGAGTATCTGGGCTACTTGCTCCTGCCACCTAGATATTTCAACAAGTTATCTGTTCTTTTTTTTTGCTTTGTTTGTTTTAACACATCATAATGTCTAGTAAAAGCATAACCTACTCAGCTGCGTTTGTCATAAGTTTATGATATTTCGCTGTACAAGTTACAAAAAAGCCGAATCAGGGAAATCGTGGTTACTGACAATATGCAGCCAGAAAAATGTACGTTATTATTCAGATGTCGATTTATGAACTGCTAACATCACACTAACAATCATTCAATTTTTGTCGTCAGGATGGATGAAGAAATAAGGGAAGGAAACTCGTTGAAATACTTCGTGCTGAAAATTCTATATTGTACCAACAATATAATATTGAATAAAGCTAATAATAATATTACCAATATTAGTAATCTTGTTTTTATTATGAAACTTGAGATTCTTAGTTAGTTTATTTCTGATAAAATAACCCAGAATTTATTGAGTTAATATTGTTTTTAATGAGATCTGAATTCTATTGATAAACGTAAACCAAATGTATTAAGGATTATTGTTTATTATGTATTCACTAATGAATTGAAAGTGAGACTTTACATGTGAATAGTAATTACCAGTATTGTTCCGTTGTTTCTGGTTAGATTTAAGAAAGATCAAAAGAATAGTGTCATTATACTTGTACTGTAGACATTTCAGTACTTTAAATATATCATTTTAAAATCTGTTTATCAATGTTTCAGCTGGTTATATGTTAGTTAAATCCAGCAAACAGTAAAATAACCTGGTATTTCGATACAAAAACGAAATCTTCTTCATACTTTTAAGTTACCAAGGATTTATGTTCATATTTAAAACTTAGACATCGTTTCAATGAATTCGGATTTATTTCGATCACATATAATTCAAATGATTGTTAATGCTAATGGAACTTTTAGCACGACAACTCTTTAGTTTGTTGAATCTGTTCAGCTATAAGGTATAATACATTATCCTTAGGTTACAGTCATTAAAACCCCTGATGATCCTCTTATCATACTAAATTCTTCCCAACTATATTAATAAATACTATAACATTGGTTATCTAAGCCTAGTATACAGCTCTACTTTAAACTTGAAATGTTCAGAGCACTTATTTAGTCGTTTATACTGTTTAATGTTTTTAAAAAAAAGCAATTGATATTAGTGAATAAATGTTAGTGTACTTCTATTGTAATCTTTGTATACTATTATATTATTATATTAAGGTCAAGAGTATTGAATGATAAAAGTGCTAGAAAATGTACTTTGGTTAACGATTATTATGCTGAATGCTAATGGTAATTGTATTGATTGACTATGTTTTAGAAGAATAATTGAAAGTCATCAACCACTACCATATAAATCAAGTATGTTAGAAACTTCATTAATATGATATACATTAACAAACTGATTTAACTTCAGTTACCCCTTTCAACTTATCGCTATCATCTGTTCATGAATAAAGTTTTTTTTTGTAAATTTTATTATATTCATTTATTCAGTTAATTGATTTATTGAGTAGTTTCGGTAAACTTATGTATATTTATAATCTCAATAGTTAATTCTCTATACATTTTATTGTTTTGTATTTTCTTAAAAGTAGTTATTTAATTTGGCACTGTATAAATTATTCCTGTAAGGAATTACAAGTGATCTGTAAACATGATTTAGTACTTAATTCATTTGACTTTAATTAATACAATGAAGCCTGCTCATTTCATGTCAGTTCAAACAGTCAGACTATATAGAAAGACTGCAATTAAAAAGGATTGTTTTTTAGCTGTGTACAATAAGCTGCATTTAATTGCTAAGTTGTATTTACTGAACAATAATAAGTACGTATTTTTCATGTTTTACATTTTCATATTGTATTAAATGTAAGGGATGGAAATTTTTTAGGGTATTCTGAGAGAAATAACAAATTTTTAAAAAAGTTTTGTATGTATTAGATATAACTCATTAATCATGTATCATTTCTTTGAAAATGTGGTTTTAGGAGTAGCATGTTTACTCGAACATCAATCATGCTGCTCGACTGATTAAATAGAAGGCGTAATGGAATTTGAACCTAGTATCTAATAATTGAAAGCTGACTGCTCTAATCACTACAACTTTAGTTGGCTCATTGCACTGTGTTCATCATAAGTTTGTAGGGTTAATTTTAACTGTTCTCCTTTAGTTTTGCATCTTAAATAATAAGATTAATTGAATTCTCACATTTTCAATCAGGCTAGACAGTTGAATACTCGTGTAGGGGGTTAAATGATGAAAACTTCCATTTATAGTCAATAGTTCATCTCTTCCGAAAAAGGGTTGACTTGTTGGAATGTAATTTTTGGAATCAGTCCTCGTGACTATATGTATATTAAATAACTACCAACATTAGTTAAAGCATCTGGTATGAACTTCTGAACTCATACTAATTTCACGAATACAGTAGGGTTGAATTGGTCAAGCTATAAACAAATAGCTTATACTTAATTTCTATATAATATTTCGGTAAACAAAAAGAAATTATCGAGTATTCATTATAATGAGTCATTCATTCGGTGTGTATATTTCTGTTTTGTTTCTTTTTTGATTGACATTCATGAAGGAATTATTTAAGCCAAAAGCAATAATAACAACAACACGAAGAAGAAGAAAAAGAATGAAACAGCTGTTCATCCATTTATTTATACTACATTATATTATTTAGTAATTTTATTGATTTCCATTCCATTTGTGAACTTACACCCCAACAATTAGTGTCATTCACTTGTTCAATTAGAAACAGAAATTTTTGAATATTCGAACTTTTGACTAAGCACACATACCTGAACACACTCATATATATTCTTTTTTTGAAAAAAAATATATAAAGCCCCATTTAGTTCCATATATTATTTCATATAGGTTGAGTGATTGAAGAATTTGATAGGTTCTTGTTATACATGTAATTAGAATGAATGATAACGCATTATTGAGGAGTCATAAATTGTATGAGCATAATGGGATTTATTGTTTTAATCATTTAAAATAATAAAAAAATCCCCAGTATATTTTGATACGTAGTATGGTGATATATATCTATGTATCTTCTTTTCACTTTTGTTATCTACTTAAAATAATAAATCTACACTTAATTTTTCAAAATATTTTTGTGTATTTAGTAAAATATATATCATTCATTTACAAATTGTGATTCATTCAATTCCTCTCTCTCTCTCTCTCTCTCTCTCTCTGTCTCTCTGTCTCTCTCTCATTTTCTAACTCTGTTCGACTTCACACGCAAATACATGTACACACGTAGTCAAACATGTACTTTGCGTATTCACGGCAGTAGAATACTGCCAGTAGGTACATATATTACGCTGTTACACACAAAGACAATATACATTTAAGACCTATTTTTTTACTATGTATTCTTTTTTTTTCTACCTCATTTCGCATTCCACATATTTTTTCCTGTCTAACTATTTATCTATTTCGCGATTTGGTTAAAGAAAAATCGATTTAAAAAAAAATACACCAAATATTCAATTTAGATTGGGAAAAAAAGGATCATTATGGGAAATGTTTTATCTATATCAGTAATCTAAATTTTAAATGGGAATTAAATAGTTAATTTTTTTCTATCGGACTTTAACATTTAAAAATTTTGCTTCTAGTTTTGAAAGTAGACTAAAATGTGAGGTATCCAAACTGCCTATGCATCTTAATTGATTGGATTTAAGATTATGTACAGGATTACACCAATTAATTATATTCGAGGCTCATCTTTTATTCTATATCATTATGGTCATCAAAATGAATTAGTTTTCTTTTTTCATGAATTGTCAATGGATCAGTACTTTTTCAGAAAAATGGATAGACTCTTTTGCTCTTTTTTTGGGTTAAAAATTTACAAATCTTTAAGCCGCATTATGTTATGTCATTATTTCTTTGGTAGGTTTGTATCATTGCTTTTTCTGACACTGATACTCAGAAATCATCAATTCAAGTAATTTGAAGGTATTTTAATTTTGAAAGATATCTGAGGTTAGGGATTTTGTTGCATAATTTATATCACAGAGTGATGTTAATTAGACAATAATTTATAACCTGGAAACATTGAACATCGATTTCGTCTTACAATGAGATTCTTTAACAGTATCTACCGAAAACCCCACTAGAGGTCAAACGTAAGACTTAAAGGTCTCATGGCAGGCGATTAATCGCTGAGCTGAAATCCACAATTTTACAAATCCAACTTGAATTCGCAACACTGAATGACCAAATATGATTATTACTAATCAGTAACTGCATAGCACTTTACATGGTTGGATTCAACTGGTCACGGTTTTTATCAAGAGCAGCTTTCGAATACCTCTCCTTTTCCATAACTTACCGAACTAAGATCGGTCTTTGTCACAAACTGCGAAACTCAACAGCCTCTACAAAAATCTTATAGTACATATTTGGTTTGCCATGGATGACTAATAATTCAGATATAGATTAAAATGAGATACCTAGGAGAAATTTGTGGTCACATATGAAATAGAACCTTGTTTATAAAATGCACTTTTTAATATTGATCTGAATGGTTGGGGGACTTATGTGGCTACACCTCCTACAGGAGGAGCTAACTGCTTTTCTACGTTTTAATTACTTATAATTGCTTATAAACTGTCATCGATTCAATCTTATCTTAAGAAACCACGTTGGCCGATATTTTGAACAACTCGTGGGAGTTGACCAATATATATTGTACACGATTCCAAATATTAGGCCATATTTATCAGTCAAATGAACCGGAACCATAGATAAATACTGAATATCCCATGCATCTGTGCGAAGGAGAACAAACAAACCAGCATATATTATAATACTATTACCAAAATGTACAAAAGTATTCTGACTGAAGTTTAGAAAAAATACTAGAGTCCGTTATTTCAACTTGGTAATCTTAAGGTATCCCATTAACCTCTATACTGGGAAATCTTAGAGTCGACTCTGTGTTTAGTCATCACTGGGTATTACAGAGGCGTTCGGAAATGGAACAAAACAAGCAGTTATTGATGAACACAATATCGAATCGAGTTAGAAATTGAGTGTCAAAAAAGTTTCCTATTTATATATTAACTGTAAAAAACAATGGAATACTCATTTTCAAATCGAATATAGCACACACTCACTAAGTGTTATTTATTGGCAGGTTTCTAATTCTGTAAGTGTTGATTATATACAAACAAGTTCATCACATTTCTAATCCGTTTTGTCTATCTTTGTTTTAGTAACGCCGCTTAGGATTATTAAAATAGATAAATTTATTTTACATCCAATTTATTGTTTATTACTATTCAATGTTTAGTCAGTAAATGTGAAAGTTGTAAATATTGTTGGTTCATAAGTCATAATGAAGTAGGATGTAAATCTTACGTTCTTCTGAAAGTGGGGAGTTGAATAATTGCCAATTTGATGAACTCTTGTTTAATGTTCAAGCAGTCATGTATAGTTTCTTTCTTTTTAAGTCAAGAATTGAAACAAAGATCTGTTAGAAATAAACATGCATCGAAGTGGTGTTCTATCCTAGTTGAAACTTTTCAGTAATCTTCATCTACGATTCAATCAAATAACTGAAACCTAGAACATCCATATTGAACTACATGCAGCGTTATTCATAAACATTTGAGATAGATAGAATCTGTCATTTCACATTCTCAACCTTAATAAGTACATATTAAGTAATATAACAATCATTCAGTATCGTTAGTGATACTTGTGTGACTCTACAAAAGTTATCGATTCTTAATAATTGTGTTTATTTTCTTATTAAAAAAAGCTGATTACGGATTTTAATAACAAATTCAGCTTCTCTCTTGTTTTTATTTTAATATTTACTTAGAATCCAATTAAACAGGATGACTGGAAAAGTCCTATTACAGAGAAAAATAAACGTCATTCAACACAAAGAAAATTCACAGAATCACCATGGGGACCAGTATCAGTTCAACAAGCAAAAAAATTAACAAACGACTTTGATCAATGCCCGAAAGTCATTGGTCAAATCAATAACAATCGTAAAAATAATCACCTTATAACAAATGATAATTATTCGAAATGGTTAAAATCTTCGAAATCTTCAATGAGTAATAATAATTTAGATAAATTGAATGAATCTATTTATCAAACTAATGATGTAACTGATAAAAAGTATAATTTGTCAAATGAACGATATTTTAGCCAATTAACTTTACCAATCTATTCAACTTTTTCCAGTACTAAAGCAAATACAGTCTATTTGAATACATCTAAAGAATTTAATGTTTCAGAGAGTAATTCAAACAAATTCATCACAACCAAAGGTATTCAATCTTTGTTTAGATTACCATTTAAAAGAAAAGCAAGTACCCCTGGACCGAATATTCAATTTGTAGAACACCCATTAAAATCTCATGGACGTTCGGCTAGTTTAGCTCAATTGAATACATCAAGTGAAAATCCATCTGTTATGTCTGTATCAAATGATCAATTGAATAAAAGTACTAATAAATTAAACGTACCATATATTAAACCTTTACTACTTAAAGAATTGTCGAAAATTTGAAATTGAGAAACCATTGAAATGACCATATTTTTATTTTTAAAAATATTTTAAAAATCTTAAAAATCCTTAAATAAAATCACTTGTGACTTTCTGCTTTATAATCTGCGTTCAATATAATGCTGCTAATAAATATTTTGTCCGTAAGAATATAATCAACAAAACTAAAGTTTTTCATTAAAATATTTTGATTGCATAGTGATAACATCTCTGACTATGAAGTTAGGTGACACAGGATCGAATTCGTCAGGAAGCATCAGTTCCCTCAAGATTACAGGTACGTTTCCTGTTGACTATCTCCAACCACCATCTTATCTCAACATAATGTACACAGTGTCAAGTCACCTAGACTACTGGCCACATTGCAACTTGGTCGGTAGCATTCAATCTGTACTAAGAAGGACCTGATATTGATCACTACCCATTGATCAATCAATTGTCATAGTGAAAATGTTTATAATCAAAAGGCATATTTTTAGTGATCATAACTATACTCGTTTGTTGTTAGGAGAAAGTTATGATGGAATTTATCAGTACCGGATAATAGGTGTTGCTCGATACCGAAATATCTGCTATTGATATATCTGATTATCTGATATGGTGTTTAGAGAATTTTAAGAAATCCATAAGCTAGAATCGATAGAATGAATTTTTCTGATATTATGTGATGTAATTTATTAATATTTTAGGAGTGACACAAATTTTTAACATTTTACTCACAGTTATCTAATGGTGCCTTGCTTGAACATCTGGGCTAGCTGTTCCTGCTATCTAGTTACCTAACTTTGTTTGTTTAAGTACACCATTATGGTTATTAATCATATTACCTACTTAGGTGCGTTTCTGAAAAAGTGTACAACCTTACGTTGTACAAGTTACAAAAGGCACAATCACAGATATCGTGGTTGCTGGCAATATGCAGCGAAAAGAATGTACATTGTTTAGATGTCAACTGACTGGATTGCTAACTTCTACCTGGTGATCACACAATATTTATCATCAGGTTCGATCAAGAATTAAGAAACGAGAAATTTTTGAAATACTTTGTGCTGAGAATTCTATATTGTACCAAAAATATAATAAGGAATAAAACTGATAATAATATACATAATTTACTATAGATGTCGTAGCTACTTATTAGTAGCTCAGTGTTCATTGTGAAATATTTTACATGTAAATGTATAGTTATGATCATGAAATATATGAAAGTAGTCCATCTACTGAGAACGTTCACGTAATAGGATAGATTATAAGGACAAACATTAATCGCTCATATCATGAAAATTTATCACAAATAGTTGAGAAGTGTTGATACTACTTTATTGTATTCAGTAACTATGTCCCTAAAATATTCACCAGTTAAACCTAAAAGATCGAAGATTGTTCATCATGCAGATGACTTTACGCTTCATTGATATCAGATTTGTAACTGTTTAACTAGATCATTAAGTGAAATAAATTAACATGATTGCTGATGTAACAATAAATGTCGGTATATAGCAATATATTACCGGTCGGTGGGTTTTGAAGCTCTTTTCTTATGGTCCAATGACAGCATTTCGAAGTATCCTTATTTATCAAGGTTGGTTCTTGGTTTCGATATCAGAAATAATAATTCCTAGAGTTTGTTTTTTCAAAATAAACTATGATCATTTAATCCATAAATTGAAATTTAACAATGATATTGTTTTATTTACATAACTGTATTTCCTCTAAACTAAAGTAGCACTTTCATGATTCATTTAATTCACAGCAAATATGTAATAGTATTGTTTTATTCATAACATAAATCATTTATATTTTTATCAAGACAATGAATCGGTTTCAATTTTAAACACATGTTTTCTATCTTAATTATCATTGTTCACACTTACAAATAACTCCAAGGTTGTTCAGCTGTTGATGTCGAAAAACTAAGTGATTTACCAGTATACGGGCTGTGGAGATTATTAAATTTTTGATTGTGATCATGAACCGATTGATGTTAGGTCACCGTTGGGGATCCGGAAGCACTGGACGGCCGTTTCATCCCATTGTGGGACCCCTCAGTGGTGCACATCCACGATCCCACCCGCGGGATTCGGATCCAGGGTCTTCCGTCTCGCGTGTGAATGCTTAACCTACAGGACCACTGAGCCGGCATCCAATGGTGTTGGTGTCTAACATCTCAATCAAAAACTTACTTATTCATGAAATGCAATGCAATACTTATAGAAATAATGGTTACTTAGGACGAATTTATTGTATCCTGTAAATACTGTTCTTCTTGCTCTATTTAAATACGAATAAATTTTATCTTAGTTATTTATCAAATCAAACAGACATTTTCATTAACATTGACGAGTGTGAAAATAAGCTTGAGTTATAATACCTCTCTGTATTAATACATTTATGGAATATTGAATGTTCCTAAGGATTTTGTTACAAGAACATAGAGGGAAAAAATACGAATTTCAAGTGTGAACACTGATAAACACTACTTTGACAATTACTGTTTGTACAAATGATAAATCACAGTGAAAATTATGTGTAAAAGTACTTTCTCTACTTTAAGTTACATACTTACTTACTTATGCCTGCTACTCCTCGTGGAGGAGTATAGGCCACCCACCAGCACTCGCCATCCAATGCTGTCCTAGACAATCCTCGCTAAAAAAACGTTAACCGGAAAAAATAACTCAAACCATTTAAACTCTGCCCTGGGAGTTAGAAGGTCTTCATTTAGAAGGACTATGACGCCTCATGATAAAAGCCGATTTCTCTCAAGTTACATTACTTACTTACTTACGCCTGTTACTCCTCGTGAAGGAGCATAGGCCGCTCACCAGCATTCTCCATCCAACCCTGTCCTGGGCAATCCTTTCTAGCTCCGTCCAGTTGTAATTCATCCTTTTCATATCTGCTTCTATTATCCGACGTAATGTGTTCTTTGGCCTTCCTCTTCTCCGCTTCCCTTCAGGATTCCAAGTTAGGACTTGCCTCGTGATGCAGTTTGACGATTTGCGTAATGTATGTCCTATCCATTTCCATCGTCTTTTCCTAATTTCTTCTTCAGCTGGAAGTTGGTTTGTTCTCTCCCACAGAAGGCTATTGCTGATGGTATCCGGCCAGTGAATGTTGAGTATCTTGCGTAGGCAGCTATTTATAAATACTTGTACTTTCTTGATTGTGGTTGCTGTAGTTCTCCAAGTTTCAGCTCCATACAGTAGAACTGCCTTGACGTTGGTATTGAAGATTCTCACTTTGATATTGGTTGAAAGTTGTTTTGAGTTCCATATGTTCTTCAATTGTAGGAATGCGACCCTTGCTTTGCCGATCCTCGCCTTTACGTCTGCATCGGATCCTCCTTGTTCATCGATGATGCTTCCCAGGTATGTGAAGGACTCTACATCTTCCAGAGTTTCGCCATCAAGTGTGATTGGATTGCTGTTCTCCGCTTTGAATTTGAGGACCTTAGTTTTCCGTTTGTGTATGCTGAGGCCTACTGATGCAGAGACTGCTGCTACACTGGCTGTCTTCATCTGCATCTGTTCACGTGTACGTGATAGGAGGGCTAGGTCATCTGCGAAGTCCAAATCGTCTAATTGATTCTGAGCTGTCCATTGTATTCCGTGTTTTCCTTCAGATGTTGAGGTCTTCATAATCCAGTCGACCACCAGAAGAAAGAGGAAGGGAGAGAGTAAACAGCCTTGTCTGACTCCGGTCCTTACTTGGAATGCATCTGTCAGCTGTCCTCCATGCACTACGTTGCAGTGTAGTCCGTCGTATGAGTTCCGGATAATATTGACAATCTTCTCAGGAACTCCGTAGTGTCGAAGAAGTTTCCATAATGTCCTCCTATCTACATTGTCGAATGCTTTTCATAATCAATGAAGTTGATGTATAGTGATGAATTCCACTCAACTGATTGTTCGACGATGATCCGTAGTGTTGCGATTTGGTCTGTGCACGATCGATCCTTACGGAATCCAGCTTGTCGATCTCGAAGTTGGGCGTCTACTGCATCCTTCATCCGGTTCAGCAACAATCTGTTGAAGACTTTCCCTGGTATTGACAGTAGTGTAATGCCTCTGTAGTTTTCACATTTGCTCAGATCTCCTTTCTTTGGAATCTTGATGAGGTGTCCTTCTTTCCAGTCCATCGGCACTTGTTCCTCCTCCCAAATCTTTTTGAATAGAGGGTAAAGCATGCTTGTGGTTGCTTCGATGTCTGATTTCAGTGCTTCAGCTGGTATGTTGTCGGGTCCTGCTGCTTTCCCGTTCTTGATTTGTCTGACGGCCATTCTGATTTCTTCCGTCGTTGGTGGATTGACATCTATAGGAAGATCTATGTGTGCTGCTTCGATGTCCGGTGGATTCATTGGAGCCGGCCTATTCAGGAGTCCCTCGAAGTACTCTACCCATCTGTTACGCTGTTGTTGAATTTCGGTGATTTTCCTGCCTTCTTTGTCTTTGACCGGCCTCTCTGGTTTACTGTAGTTCCCTGCTAGTTTCTTCGTTGCATCATGAAGCTGTTTCATATTTCCTTCTCTAGCAGCTTTTTCTGCCGTCGTTGCTAGTTCTTCAACGTATTTCTTCTTGTCAGCTCTAATGCTCCTCTTCACTTGTTTGTTTGCTTCTATGTATTCAGCTTGTGCTTGGACTTTCTCTGCTCGTGTTCGGCTGTTGTTTATTGCTGCCTTCTTGTTCTTCCTTTCTTTGATCTTGTCCAGTGTTTCTGTAGAGATCCATTCCTTATGATGGTATTTATTTAGACCCAGAACCTCTTGACACGTTGAAGTTAATGCTTCCTTGATGCCTTTCCAGTTGTCCTCCATAGTAGTTTCTTCTTCTTTCAGTAGATCTTGAAAGGCTTGGAACCTGTTGTTGAGAGCTATCTTGAATTCATTGAGTTTGTCAGTATCTCGAAGGAAGACTATATTGAACCTTTGTATTGCTGTTTGTCCACTTGTCCAGTTCTTTTTTAGCTTCAGTTTTAAATTGGCTACAACTAGGTGGTGATCTGAAGCTACGTCAGCACCTCTCCTGGTTCTCACATCTTCCATTGTCCTTCGGAATTTTTTGTTGATGCAAATATGATCTATTTGGTTCTCTGTAGTGTGGTCCGGTGAGATCCATGTAGCCTTGTGTATACGCTTGTGTGGAAATATTGTGCCTCCTATGACCAATTTGTTGAATGCACATAGATTTGCAAATCTTTCTCCATTTTCGTTTCTTTCTCCCAGTCCATGTCGTCTCATAATATCTTCATATCCAGTGTTGTCTATTCCGACTTTGG